GCATGAAAAAGACTGAATCCATAGACTTTCTCTGATCATTCACAAAGGTGATAATTTAACAGCAGGATAATTAATCTACTCCAGTTATCTTGCTCTACAACCCAAGTAGACGCAAAACACTCAGTATTTTGCGAAAGGCAACTAAGCAAGGTTAGGATTTACCCCCTACCTTTCCCTTCAAATGACTTTCAAATGACTTCAAGTGACTTCACCTACTTTCTTTCCTCTTGCAAGGCAATTTCCTTCTGAGGTGGACAGCTCACTCAGTTTTTCATGGAGGTGGTGGGCTGATTGCAGCAAACAACCAAACACCCTCACAAGCTGCTTGCTCACTCCCCTCTCCTCCGGGATGAGGAGAAAATAGAAGGTGAGAAGGCTTGTGGATTGAGATAATGACAGTTTAACAGGGAAAGCAAAAGCTGCATGTGCAAGCAAAGCAGAAATAGGAATTCATTCATGACTTCCCATCAGCAGGCAGATGTCCAGCCACTTCCTGGCAAGGGGTGAGTGGAGGCAGAGTAGGAAATAGAAAGGCTTCACACTGTGCAAGCACCGTTCAGCAACAGTCAAAACATCAATATGTTATCAACACCATTTTAGGCACACACCCAAAACACAGCACCATAGGGCTGCTATGAAGAACGTTAACTCCATCCCAGACAGACCCAGTACAGCAGGAGAGCTAGCTGCTTGCGCCCCATCCCTCTTCTCCAGTAGAGAGAATAGAAAACAGACCTGAGCCGGTTCCTTTGCTACAAAAGACTCAAGCAGACTACTGGGAAGTAGCAGAACAAAATATTAGTATGGGGAAAACACTACAACGTTACAGCATTGGCAGCTTAGTTTCTTCAGTGTTTGCAGACATACCTTTCTTCCTAAATGCACTGTATCTATTTTGTCATAAGCCTCATACCCTGAGCAAAGACTGAATATTCAACACATTAAATTTACATCATCCTATCATAGACTGTCCTTGTTCTACACATTTAAATTGTGATTTGTGAGGCACAGCCAGAAGAAACAAACAAGTTTAGATGGAGTTCCCTCCTAGCTTTTAACAATGCTGAAGATTATCTTGGAGTCAAATGGCATGGGTGATTAATGTTGCATCAATTTTAATCCTCATATTTTGAGAAATTATTGTCTTTGTCTTAACTTTAGAAGACAGTGTTCAGAACTAGTTCGATTAAACACTTAGATCTTTTTTCAGGGTTCAGAATAGCTTTGTAAATATGCAAAAATATCAGCTAAGCTGAAACCTATTACTTCAATGCCTACAAGTTCTTACATTTTCTCCTAATTCATTTTAAGCTTTAATTTACCGTGAACATCCAAGAGTTATTTATATTTAAAGGGTACATGTTGTACTCACAGGCATGAAAAATATAATTTGTCTCATCTAATGAGTCATAATTAGCTTTTGTTTTTACCTTTCCATAAGCAGAATATTTTTAACATATTCAACTGGAGCTATTTTTACCCAACGATTTATGTAATTCTTTTTAATAAGAGCAGTCATATGTCAGCCTATCACTTTTACTGCAACTTATTTTCAGATAAAACAAAAATGAAAAAGCCTACATAAAGGAAGCAGTGCATGAACAAAAAAAAAAAAATCTCTCTCTAAATAAAGGCAAACATGACCCAAACTTTTGGATTTTCTTTTTTTCAAATGCTCATGAAACTGTCAGAAAGATGCTATTTCTCTCCTCAGGAATTTGAATACAACTCTAAATAATGTGAAAATCTAGAGAGTTAAAACATATGTTTGGCCTAAGAGAGAGCTCTCCATTACACCAAATAACCCACACCCTCAACCTCTTCTAAAACACCTGCACCATATACTATGAGGTGTGAAAACACACACGTGCAGAGTTTTCCTTGGCAGAAAAGTTCCCGTTAATTGTCAGGAAGATGCCACTTACAGCTGATTTTTATGAAACTCAGATCCTAGCTAAGGTATGATGTATGAAAATATGTAAAATATTGCTTCATCTCTGTAGCAATTCTACAACAATGACAACATGCCCAGTTTGGAAACATTAGTCAATGCGGAAACTCTTAAATACTAAATACTTAAATTCCTCAGAAAGTTAAATTAAGGAGCAGAAGAAAGATGGATCATAGACCTCAACATACCCAGAACAGAATAACCACATTTATTTAAGTTAAAGGAAACAATTTCTGCTGCTCATTCAGTTAACCCTCACCCTTCACTACTTAACTAGTAAAGTTATTTTTGAGCTCTGAGAAGGGAGACTTTTAACTAAACAGGAAGTTCTTCCTTTAACCGCTAATGGGCAGTTAAGAACTTGGAGTCATGAAAAAAATGGGGAAACTAAAACCTCTTCAAGCTGCTTAAAAAAATCATTTGAACGCAGAACTGTGACTGAGAGATTAATATGGAAAAATATCAGCTTGCATTATACCTGAGTACCACACAATTGCTTACCTAGTCTAGTATCTTACTGTTCATACAGTAAGATACTGGTCTCCCTTTGTCAGAGGATTAGCTATACCACATTCCTGTCTTTCAGAGCACATGGTTAACAAACTCTGTACTAATCTGAATATAATAAGCAAGACAGATTTCACAGGAGAAAAAAAAAAAAACAAAACACAAACAAACAGAAAGGTCAAACAGTTTTTCCATTAAAATCTGTTTTCCAGAAGTACTCACCAAGCTGAAATAACCACTCCATTCTTCATCTTCAAAATAAACCTCAGGACAGTAAGGCTTGAATTGTGCGAGGAGGAGAAAACAACAAGGAAATCAAAACTTACTGCCCATAGAATACCCCAGCCTAATGGATGCCTGCCTGTTATCGTAAGAATCACCTGGGCCGGAGAAGAACTTTAATTATTCAGTACAAAGAACCATTCAGCACACACGATGCAAGACGGAGGGAAGGTCAGCCTGAATCTTTACATAAATCGGCAGGTGAGGATAAACTTGAGTTCTCATTGACTGTCAACGAGACCATGGAGCAACAATTTCTGGGGCCAGAGCTACCAAGAATTACCAGTACTCTTTCAGGTGACAGGGATGTATATATTTCTAAGCATGGAAATATAAATCCTTATCAGTCCTTTACACTAAGAGAGGTTATCTTTAAAGAGAGTTCTTCCACAACGTCTAAAACTGTGTGGAGAGCTTTGTACCCAAGGATACATCATCATGGACCACTTAATTTACTTCTGTGACAGAGCTAAACTATCATATTTGACTGAAGAGTGCCGACTTGAGGTGCACCCAAGCAAGAATGCTCTGGAGCTCATGTGCTTCTCGGAATGTGCCTGAGGCTTCAACCAGTCACGGTGACAGGCAGTTACAAGCCTCAGCGCATAATGGTAAGGAGGGACCTTGGTCAAAGTCTTGTAATTTGAGTGTGATGTTAGACAGAAGGTGAAATGGCAGTAGCTGAATTCCTCTTCATAATCCATCAGAATACAAAGAGCAGGAGGAATAAAGTGTCTTTCCATGGGTATGGCAAGGGAAAATTTTCCAGCCTCACAAGACAGGCAGGAGCACACTCACCATTAGAATGTAGGCATGGGCTCCAAAAAAAGCCCCAATTATTATATCTACATATAATGTAGATATAATATATCTTCCTATATCTACATATTCATCTTGAAAATCTTGTAGTCTGCTTTTATTAATCTATCACTACATAAAAGAAAAATGTGTGTAGGACAAATATTCTACCAATCTCATTAGACTCTGACCAAGACAAGTTCCTGATTTCAAGATGGAGCAAAATCTAATACTCTCCTCCAGTGTTAAGACTACCGTACAATCCTTTTACAGTACAAGCAATGAAACCATATATGCATTTGTTTTATCCTCCTCAGAGTTTATTTTGCATGTAATTTTACACAGTTTATACTTCACATCATACATTTATTCCTTCTCTTGAAAAAAAGGTTTGACACAGACACTTGCCTTGCATTACATTTTGAAACCTGGAACTGGTGCCAGTAAAAAAACAAACCACCCTACAAAACATCTTAGATCAATACAATGTAAAAATAACACGTGTTAGAAGTTGCTCGTTATTTCACTACAAGGAAAACAGTCGGGGAGGGGAAGGGGGGGGGGAGATAATCAGTTCCAGTTGCTAAAACTGTTCAGTGTATTTTCTTTAAAGTCTTAGTGTAATGGGAATACTTTTATTAGCCCACTACCGAACAATGATCAAACTGGTGTAGAGGAAAATGAAGCATGATCCTAAACAGTATTATGGTACTCAGCTGCAATATAAAATTCTCTGTCACACAGAACATAGCAGACTGGGGATGTTCATAAAGTCCTTTCAGTGTGAACTCTACAAAAGACTCTTCCATCATGATGCGTTATTCCATCATATCCCTTATTTTGTTTAAGAAGTAAGCCACAAGTAAGCATTCCAAGAACTGTGAATAGATTTTCAGTGTTGGCACAACTATTCAGTAATTTACACAATGGTTCACATAGGGAACTGGGTAAAATTATGACTTGGAAATGGTCACAGACATCTTCCTCTTTGGCTACTTTAAAAGTTAGAAAATTCAGATTTGTATAAAAGACATTAATTTTAGAACCAATTAAAATACGTTTTTAGATAAATGGAACAAAATAAAGCATGTCTCCTTAATTTGGTATTAATTTTCCAGAATACTCTGCAGTACGTATACAAAATCTTACTCTTTACAAAAAAGTTGTAGCTCATGAACTCACTTGAATAATCTTAGCAGCACTCCAATAACTGACTACCTTGATTTTATCAAAAATACACCTTAGTTCAATCACTGTACTTTGAGACTGCTTCTTCATGAGAAGCAAGGTTTCAGAAGTTATAAAAGTGCAAGAACATCATCATGTTCCAAGCTGAAAGGCAGCTTCTGGAAATAGTGAAATCAGTATTGCAAGGTCCTGACATTAGTGAAATAAATGCAATGGGAAGAATTACATTTTAAGTACATCTTCCAGTGTGGTATCATTGTGGTAAAAACAAAACATTTCTCACTGAACATTTTAGTCATCTAAGTAAAATAGTTGTGTCATTTTTTTCAGCTGTAGCAAGTGAGATGCAAAACACTAAGTGATTTGATTGGGAGCAATTAAGCAACACACACAGTAGCATCAGCAGGTCACCAGTCAATCGGCCTGCTCATTTTGCTGTTCAGCATTTTTGTGCTATTTTAATTAAATAAAAAATGGCAAAGTACAATACTCTCAGAGGACCTTCTCATCCATTTGGATAAACGTTTCTAATTGCATGTTGCACTTCACTGAAGAAGAGGAGTCTCAAATTAGGTCCCACAAACCGCTAAGGCTGCCTTTTAGCCAAAACCTTCTGTTCTATTTAAGCAGGCTACTTACTTTTAGTAAGTATTACTATAGTAAGCATTAATATATAATGAACATTTGAATTCACTATCAGAAAAGAGGATTACAAGAAACTACAGACTTCGGAGCAGGATCACTCTTATTATTCCTGATAAAACTCTGTAAACAACAATTTAATCATGAATACCTGCTGCTTTGCAGTATCTTAAGTGTAATTTTGTACTACTAGAATTACAAAACCAATGTTTTCCTTTCTGCCTCTTTTGTAAATTTTCCTCAAAAGAGGTTCTAGCAAGTCAAGAGCTCTGCAATTATATGTGAATATTAATCTTACATTTTAAACACCTAATATTACTAAGCTTCAGAAAGCCTCCTTAGAGCAAGTTTTGTTATAGTTAGTATTAGTACAGCGTATCAGCACTTCTTCTACGACTTGCTTCTTCCGTGATAGTTACAGAGACGTCATTTTGAGATATCCATATTCTGAAGCACAATAGCCACTCTGCTTGGAATGTACACCTAGTAAAGATATGACAAGAAGGAGAATAGCTGAAAAAAACCATCAACCTCACAGGATACAATTTCTAAATAACTATGTGAAAACACACACGTGAAATATTTTAACTGTTAAAAATCTAACATTTGTGCAATGTTGTGGGTCATACTAATCACATTTAAAGAGTGATTATCGACTGCTTAGTACCCAGCACTTGAATTACACAAGATAATCTAAAAGTTTAAAAGGCAGCTTCATTGCAATCTCTCCTCTTTCCTCTTTTTTTTTTTTTTTTTAAATCTTACCTTGATATATTTTAAGGTACCTACCAGTAGAGGGCCTCATATGACTTACAATGATGAGTTTCAAAAACCTGAGGACATCTAGGTCAATAGACCATACAATGATAAATGACAAAGTTTTGCAACAGCATTTAAACACTCTTCTGCTACGAATTAAAGTTGCTGCAAGGTCTATGATGTCATTTCATACAGGTAAACACCAGCAATATGATGCAGCAGTGTATTCTTCTCACTCTTGGCATCTACGGAGTTTCAGTGTCTGAGCAATAAAACTCACTCTCAAAAGTAGACAGATTCAAAATTAACCATTAAATTGTTGCATTTTGCTTTACCCTTTTTTCCTGATTACCACAAAAAACCCAAACATATATAATCAAAAGACTTCTCATAGATCACAAAAGAACTTGTGGCAACATATTTTACATAACATTCCTTCCAAGCAGAGTAGAGTCACAATCTGAAAACAAGACCGATATGTAGTACCTACCAATTACCTTGATATATGGTATTCCATCAATTGTCAAGCGTATGAACGTGTTTGCTGAACAAGTCAATAAAAATGCAATTATAAAAGGTAACACAAGATTGAAGATTATTGGCTTCATTTTGACAATATCCTCTTTTGGACTATCCTCCACCCCTGTGGAATATCTAATATTCTGCAATTTCAACTACATTATCTGCAAACTAGAGCCTGATGGCATGAAAGGCTTTCATAGTTTTCAAAATGGCATAAAGCAATAAAGCAAAAAGCTTTAGGAAAAGGAGAAAAAGGAAAAGAACAGCTGATCTTCATTGAACCAGACAGAGCTATGTCCAATGCTTCTTGAAAGGCAGTGAACATAATGATTTCCCCTAAGGTTTCGGTGATAAATAGCTTCTACAAATCTGTGCAGGAGAGGAAATACTTAATGAAGTCAACTAGCTCAGAATGTATAGATAAAGGAGATATTTTAAAATAGCGTATTGAGAAATTCAGCACTCTGGGTTTGTATGATGACGTGAGAAGGAATAAATAGAAATAATCTTTCTAAGAAAAAAATGTGTAAAAAGTTACTTCAGTTAAGGGAACAAAAATTAACGTTAATACAAGACACAGCAATTCTCAATTATATTCTGGTCAATAATCTGTCAGATCCTAGGAGAAGTAAATTAGCCCAGTTCCTTTAAAGTCAATTTACATCAGCCGAGAATCTGAGAGCAGTGTGGAAGCATCCCACTCCTACCACTTCATTGCCAATCAGAATTTTAAAACTGGTTTTAATCACAATTTCAGAACTTGCACGAATGATTTTATTTAGACTGATGAGCGATATGTTTTCTGTTTACCATGAAGAGATGCAACTGCCAGCTTATTACTTCAATCACATGTTTTTTTCCTTACCTGGGCAAATTAAACATGCGTTTTAGTGGTTTTTATCTTGGTGGGCTTCTTGCTAAATCATAGAACAGCCAAATACGGCATTATCTCCTAATCTTATCAACTTATTTAATTGCTCAGTGTAACCACCTTTAAGGCTTAAATAAAACTGCAAGAAGCAATAGAACAATTAGGGCATGAACAATGAATAAATATTAATTATTGATTAAATATAGTAATAATTATTAAATATGAATATTAATTATTCGTTCCACTGCTGTACAATTTTTTTAAAAGGAAAAATACTACAAAAGTATTAGATAACACTTGTTACAAAAGTATCGGGATTATTCCTCCCCCCCGCCCAACAATATTTCCAGAAATACTACAGTGTATATGCTCTGGCTTTATTATTTGTCTAAATAGACAGAACACAGAACATTTGTGTGAAGGAGAGGGAAGGAAAGATGTGACTAATGAGGCTGGAAAGATTGCTTGTCTTTCCTGAGTTCAAGTGAAATCTGGAAGATTATCTGCCCAGGATCCCAGCACGGTTTTCAGTCTTCTCAACCCAGATTTCTCACATCTGCTCCTTCCTCTTCTGACACCCCAAATCCCAGAGCTTCGTCAGCCTTTCCACTCCAGTATTATTCCTTTTCCTTCAGCACCTCTCACCTGAACTACCACTCTTGTAGTAACATATCCTCATTAATTTATTTTCTCTATCCTTTTCCTGAGTGTACTGAGGTGTACCAAGTAGACTGTACTCCAACCATATGCTACAATTTGCCACCAACTGGCACGATTAAAAAAAGTCAGGAATCCATTACTGACAGAGTAAGTTGAAACGCAAGCACCTTATTGTATGTTTGAGTCCAGACATTGTCAAATACATAAAAATATGGATAATCCTTAGCTAAAAGCTAATTAATTAGTAACATTAGGTATATTTTGATATCGCCGATTTAGATTACAAACTCTGCTTGCTTATAATACTTTAATCCATTGTTCTGATTCATATCAGAACACATACATACAGTACTTAATATTATAGAAATAAATATGCAATAGTATACAATAAAAGGCTACCATCCTCAGACACTACTACTAGTACACAACTACTTAGCAAGTTGGTTTCTAAGCTTTACTGATGCTTGGGATTCCTCTGCAAAATTTTTCTTCATTGATTTTTATGAAGTTTCTGTTGGGTAAACCCTCAGATTTATTGAGATACATCTGGACTGGACCTCTAACATTTAATTTATCAACCACTCACCCTAATTCAGTGTCATCTACAAATCTGCTGAGGATACACTCTGTCTCATCATTCTAGTCACTGCTGAAGACTCCAAACAATATCAGCCCCGGCAGCAATTCCTAGGGCGTTCTGCTTGATACCAGCTGGACACTGATCTTCTGATTACTAAAACTGCAGGAGCCCAGCCAGTTTTTAATCTACCTAACAATCTTATCCAGCCCATATTTCCCCAACTCCTAGGTAAGAATGCTGTAGGAGACAAAGCTGAAAGTCTTACTGCATTGATTGCAGTAACCTCATGCACACAGCCAGAGTAATTTTATCACAGAAAGCAATCACATTGATCATGCATGTTTTGCCTTTGCTAAAATCTGGGTTGGCTTTCTGATTGACCTATCTCATATACCCCACTTGTTTGGATATGGATTCCAAGAGGAGGTGGTCCTTGACCTCTTAAGGGACTGAGGAGAGAGGCTGACTGGCCTCAGATCCCTCAGCCTGCCTTTTCACTTTCACTACAGCCTTCGTTCAGTTGTCAGAAATTTCCCCGACTGCTATGATTTTTCACAAATGTTAGTCAGCAGCCTTGCAATCACATCACTGACATCTTTCCAAACCTCTGGGTGTATCCCATCTTTAAGGTGTCCCTAACCCATTGCTCTGCTGCTGCTACTTTCTTTTCAATAGTGTACTGGCACACAAAAAGGTCTGGGAGCAGGCTTTACCCTTGGAATCTGAGGTAAGAAAAGGCATTGAATACTCCCGTACTCTCCATAGTGCCCATCACAGGTTTGACTCCTCCCTTTGTCAAGGGACTTGCATTTTTTTCTTAAGCTGCTTTTGCTATTAGTATACCTGTAGTATCCCCTTCTTGCTGCTCTTCATTATGTCTAGCCAGTTTATATATATATAGTACACGGCCTGAGATATTTATCTACCTATAGATAAGTAAGTACAGTAAAAGTATATAGAGGTGTCCTGATTAAAACCATCATAGGAAACCTAGGTATTCATCAGTAAAAGACATTATGACAGATATGTCATTTCTGATGTTTTTCTGTACCCTAGGAGGAGGGTCTCAGAAGTTTATTCTTGTCTTCCCTTTTCCTTTCATACACTGTCACTGAATTATATAGTTTCAATTACCAGCTTCAGTTCTATTGACCTCTGCTCTACTAACCTGCTTCTTTCCGATCACAAGTTTTATCCCATTCATGTCTCCTTCACCATTTCATGAGGCTGACTTGATGAACATGGCCAGAAGTGAAAACCCAAAGTACAGAATACTAAAGAGAATACGTTCATAGGTAACCGATGCCTTGACTATCAGTCAATCAACTCATTCTCCGAATCTCTCTTTTTTTTCAAGCTTTCTGTGTTCACCTTAAAGGCCCTTCCAAGCTCTTTCCTCCCCAACAGGCTCATCCATGTTGGAAAGGGCCTCAGGAGGCCCAAACTCCCCGCTGAAAGCAGGGTCAGCTATGAGGTCAGACCAGATTACTCAGGGCTTTAGATATCTCAGTGAATTGGCTCTCTGCTTGCTACACCAACTGCTTACTTATTACCTCATGTGCTCTAAGGTGTCACATGAACTCTGCTATTTTAGTAAACCGTGAAGACATCTAAAACCACACAGAGGAAGACTCATGAGGCCTTTTCTGATGGGGAATGGAATATGGGGAAGGGAAAACATCAGATCTGTTCTAGACAGAGTTAGCATGACTCAGCTGTGAATAAAAATTTTTGACAAAGTTAACATTCAAACCTTTAGTCATCAAACTATCATTGGAAGCCTTTTTATTCTCAATCGACTAATCACGAGGAATAAACTTGAATAATTGTGGTTGACTTCACAGGCAGATGTGCTAACAGAGACGATGGAGGAGGATAGGAATGTTGTTTATAAGTCAAATACATACAAATTGTTTTTTGTTATCACCTCTGACATTTCTATACTGCATGTCCATTTAAACTATGAGGCAGTTACACTGTCTGAAACTAGGTAAATCCCACACAGACCAAGGCTTCTGGCACTAAAATAGTACAGCTACTAATACGGAGACAAAAACCCGCTTATTACAATCAACCTATTTTCCACCAACATACATGGTGTTCTATCAAGATCGTAGTCCCTTCATGTAGGCTATCTCACAAACAGGGAAGAACAACCGGTACTACTACTACTACTTGCCAGGAACATATATGATGCTTTTCAGCCATACAAATGCTTACTCCTTATACTTTTTTTCTGTAAATATCCAGATAATTTCAAGAAATGAGAGATTAGAGAAGCTAAGAAGAATACAGGAATACCAAATACATGAAGCACTTGTGAACAACAGCAGTTATAAGCAGGAAGCTCACCTTTGATATTTTGGGAGAGGACTATAATACACAGCAATCTCCAAATGTATCTAAAACCCCACAAGCAAGAAGTTCTGCAAATGACAACTGCTACTTTCAGATCTGTCAGACTAGATTCAGTACCAGGTGCAAGCACAACTGAAATTGGCTGGAACTGCAATGAACTGCTCTTCATCCCACTTTCAGGGCTGGAAAACACCAAGCCCTAAAAATCATTTCAAGGTCATTTTGCAACAGATGGGAGAACTACTGGAACTCAGAGCTAGATCAGGCACTGCAGAAAAAATATTTGATAGTGCATATTGCAGCTGGTAGATGCAGAAGGCAATGCCACAAGAGTCTGTGCCAACATTTTCCCAAACTTTTAATTAAAATGAGGGCTTTAGACAATCTCATGTCTCTGTATCACTACTAATTGTCAGACAGTGACACTATTCTGAGAATATAATTAACCATCAATGAATAAGATACATGATAGCTTTTGCTTTCTGACTATAATTTGTTATATAAAACCTCAGACATTACAGATTTCATTTTGCTAGATATTGCATATGACAAAGAAGGTATGCTTACAATAATGTGAAGTTCTGCCTTCCAATTTGTTTTTCAATTTACAGCTGTACAGCATGAATATGCAGAAAATCATTTCTCAGACTGTCTTGCTTCATGTATGCAAAAAAGTCCATATACTGCACAGGCTGTATCTCAAAATTTCTCCTCATTATCTTCTGCACTCTTTCTTCAGGTTAAGAAAGAGTACTTTAAAAAGACAACAAAAAACCCCTGGCAAACACAAACAAGCAGACTGAAAAATATGATAGGAGGAAAGAAAATGACTAACAGAATAACTTTGGAATCATTACACTTGATTGCGGTTTTTGTTTGTTTTAAGAAGTCAAACTATCAATGAATATGAGCAAATAAATTTATATGTCTAATCATCAAGAGGTAAAAATAACAAAAGACCTTGCTAGCATTAAAGTCTTACTGATTCCCCTAGTTAAAACAGTTAATTTTGTAACTGCTAACATTCTTTCTGTATATCTGTGCATGTCAGGGGAGAAAACAGTTAAAGACTACATCAGTCCCTGAAAATTCAATACATAAATCTTTATCATGAAAGTTCCTCAAATGAGTTTTTTCAAACCTAAGGTCACTAAAAGCTTTTAGATCATTTCAGTCTATGTGAATATTTTAATTTGTCAACAGGCTCAAGGAAGCAGAAAGTTGCACTTTAACATTGACTAGTATACATTAAGGTCAAGGTTAAAAACCCAACCCAGCAATAAGAATATTCTTAAAAGAAAATATATAATTTCAGTTTCATTTAATGTGAAAAGATTGTATCAGTGGAGGCCAAAGACAGAGAATCAGAAAAAAACAGTATTGGCGGCAGGGGGAAAGGAACATTTCGACATCTATTTATTTTTTAACTAATTGGAAAGAACTACAGAAAGAGTAAATCTATAAAAGCTGAAATATGTTAAACGATTATATTTCTCAATAAACTACATACTACTTTGCCAATGATAAAACATACTCTGCACTATTCCATTTAGCCTGCCTATTACTCAGTTCTGTTGGTGTACGAAGTATCAAAGACTAAGCCCCACTGTTTTCCTATAAATCCTAACTTTTGGTGTGGTACAAAAATCTTGAAGTTAGTAGGACACACATTGATATCTAGTTACATTTTACAGTAAAATTCAGTCAAGTCGAATACTGTGTTCAGTTTGGGGCCCCTCACTACAAGAAGGATGTTGAGGTGTTGGAGCGTGTCCAGAGAAGGGCAACGAGGCTGGTGAGGGGTCTGGAGAACAAGTCTTATGAGGAGCGGCTGAGGGAACTGGGGTTGTTTAGCCTGGAGAAAAGGAGGCTGAGGGGAGACCTCATTGCTCTCTACAACTACCTGAAAGGAGGTTGTAGCGAGGTGGGTGTTGGTCTCTTCTCCCAAGTAACTGGCGAAAGGACGAGAGGAAATGGCCTCAAGTTGCGCCAGGGGAGGTTTAGATTGGATGTAAGGAAAAATTTCTTTCCTGAAAGAGTGGTTAAACATTGGAACAGGCTGCCCAGGGAAGTGGTTGAGTCACCATCCCTGGAGGTATTTAAAAGACGTGTAGATGAGGCACTTAGGGACATGGTTTAGTGGGCATGGTGGTGTTGGGTTGACGGTTGGACTTGATGATCTTAGAGGTCTCTTCCAACCTTAATGATTTTATGATTCTTTGATTCTATGCCTTAGAAAAGACTGACAAAACATTTTGAATGATGAGTGTTTTTAGAAACAGTTCTTTTTCTTCCTCCTCAACCCAAATCTAACTTTCACATCCAACTACAACAACAAAGTAAGGTATCAACAAATGACTTTGTACATAAAGGGGCACTAGGATCCAACAGGAGTTGAAATGTGTGCGCAGCACTTAATTTACATCTTGCAAAGGGATGATAAGACATAAGCGAAACTAAAAGCTTATGGAAGCATTGAAAAAGCACGCAACTTTGATAAAACATATCTCAAAAAAGATTATTAGGAGAATACCACAGCAGAGACATAAACAGAAATAAAACTGTGGTAAAAGGAGTCTGTTTTTACAATGACAAAGTGGTTAACCGCTTGTTATTAGAAAGTTTGATTACGTGGAAAGTTATGTACATTTCATATATTTGTTAACAATCCAGAACAGAGCAAGCAGTGAAATGGAAAAATTAGATTATAATCATTATTTAAATCGATATTTTTTGTGCATTTTTCTACGGAGTTTTCAACGTGTGTCTGATGATTTTGTAATCTCGCCCTCTACAGCGTTACTGAACAAACTTGAATCATCATCTGTTCATCAACAAAACTTTACAGTGAAATGCCTAACGGTGCTTACAAAGCTTCCTCTTCATCCAGGGTTCTTTGCTCCAGGAATTTCATATGTCCTTTCTTCTCATTTTGCTGTCACTTTGAATATTTCTTTTATTAGGTGATGTTTCTAGAATGAATCATGTCACATCTAATCTATTTTTGTAACACATTTGTGTGCTATTTAAGCTTGACTTGAGCGGCATAATCATTGCATGTGATTTCATTTTATCATAGCTCTCTGGGCGTGTTTTGCTGACAATGTTTACTTGCACACCTTAAGGGAGGTGCATCGGTCATTAAAAAAAAATACTACTTTGAAGTTCGTGGTGGAGGAGGAACTAAAATTTTTCAAAGAAGAAACTTAAGTCTCATGCATTATGTAAAGAGAATACGATAATCGTTAAACAGCAGGACAAGAACCTTTATGGGTTTATTGGGGTGGCATCATAAGTTTTTTGAAAAGAAATTTGAAGGGAAGACTTCTACTTGGATTTTAGAAACTTCAGCTAAGACTAAAGCAACTCCCAAGGATAACCTATTACCCAAGAATTGGGATGTAAATTGCTATTTAAAATAAAACATTGCTGGTTTATTGTAAAATAGCAGCTGGAGGTATTTACTGTAGTTTTGTTCTTTCTTACTTGGAGTCCTATCTTGCTGAATTTAGTCACGTTTTCCAGAATTTTTTCCCCAATTACTTTTACTTGGCGTCCTTTTACTAGCATTTTACCTCTATGTGGTGCCTGTGGCATCTTCTGGGGTGTTGGCTGAAGGTGGTCTGTGAATTGGATTGCTGAAGGACATAAAAGAAAGTTAACGTGACCCACGCTGCTGGGTTTCTTTCTGACTCAGAAGTGCCATTGCCATGCCACAGTTTATGCCGCAAAAGTGCATTTGCTGCTTTGCTTGTCACATGCCTTATCTTCCACATGCTCCTAGCAAATTGCATCTTCGCATTTTGTTGCATTTTTTTCTGTCTTGAATGTCTTGCACTCACCATCTAAAAGTCTAAATGTGAAATATACATTCCAAATTACAGTTAATCAGCTTGCAAAAGTTAAGTTAGTGGTAGCTAATTAAGATGCTCTCCAATCACTAAAGCAAGGTATTTGAATTGGACACACGAAGCAAGAATTCTGGAAGCATTAATTTGCTACATAACCTTCAGGAATGGGATCTTAGACCCTTAATTTCTTTGCGTGCAAATAAGCATAGACATTTACCCGCACTATGAGGGCATTGCCACATACAGATATTTAAAAAAAAAAAAAAGTTCCCAAGATCCTTTACACCAAGCATGATGAAAGAACAAGAATTATTTCACATAATGAAACTATTTTAAAACAAGCAAACGAGAGAAATGCCAATACCCTGAATACAATGAAATAGGGTGAGTGTGAGTGAGAGAGATTAAAAGTGACAATAATTGTCAGGGGTTTAGATCTCATGAGAGATGTTAAGATGTGACACTAGAAATTGATGTCTCCATTCTGTCATGGAAGAGGAGTGGCCCACACAAATCAGTGCAGATACTCTGTTTTTGTAGCCTGTTAAGATTACAAGTGTAACTTATTTACAGGTGTTTATGTGTATAGATACACCTACGCATAGAGATACACATCCCTTCACCCATGTATGAGATATGAAAATCTAGTCAGCAATGTAAGCGTTCTCAGAACTTTTTCAGTGAACTCTGCCTTAATTCATGGCCTTTTTGAATCTTATTCTGTTGCGCTTGTGAACATATACACGCATACACATATGTGAATACATATGTAAAGAATGGGAAATATGTGTGTGTGTATATATGTATGCATATAAATATATAAAGAATGGGAAAAATGACATTTTTAAAATAATTGTGGTAAGTGATTATGATTTCAAGAGTAATGAAGAAAGGTCATTTTTATTAATCACCATCTCAGCTAACAGAAATTGAATGCAAGGATATGCCTCCCACTTCATCTGAAGTGATTTGTGGGAAAGACTTTATCCATTATTCCTATCACTTTAGGACTGGAAATTCTTGAAATTCGTGATGTGAACAGAGAAGGTCTGTTCCATTTTGCAAAGTCTTTCTGTAAATTGAGGAGGAGAAAGCCAGTTGGCAAATGCATGATTTGCTCTAATTCGTGTTTGTGAAGTTAAGCAAATGATTTTAAGAAAGCAACACAAGATTCAGTTTCTACAGAGCTTTAAATCGCAAAGCAAGCATGAAGACAGAGTTTCTCTGACATGAAAATAAAGCAAATGATGATATTAAAAATGGCAATTCAAAAGCACGTTAGAAGGTTTTCATGCATGTTGGCGAGGAACATTGTGTGCCAGACACTGCAAGAGTGCATGAAAATTTAAATGTAATGTCAAAAGAGAAAAATCAGTTAACATTAGAGGTCATGATCAAATCATAACATTGTCATCTCTACTGTATTCATACAAAGGCTAATTTCAGAAAATAAATTAAAAAAACCCCACCCCCTAAAAACACTCCTAGAATAGACTCCGTATTTGTCCGAAGAACTTTAAAAAAATTATTCAGATGAAAGGAGAATGAAAAAAAATCTTACTTACCATAAGTGAATTAGGTCGATCATTGTGAGGATATTCTTCAGAGAAGTACTCTGCACTGTGGTCCAGCCTTTGATGCCCTCCATATTCTGCAGCATCAGAATCCAGAAGGATTTTATACTTAAAAATTACTATTAAGGAACTATGCCAAATTACTGTTAAATGGGAAATAAATCAAAGCAAAAAAACTAGAAGAACTGCTGCAACATAATTCATGCTAATATACTCAATATAAAGCAAAAGTAATAATTAAAAAAATCTAAGAAAACATAGGAGTGGAAAAATATACAGAACATATAGAAGCTGATGACATTTTGTCTTGAAAATTTCCTCTTAGCATAGTAAGTAAAGTACCTTCCAGTCTCTTCTGGAATCTTCCATGAATGATAAGTTTATAGTATTACAGTAGCTATGCGTTAAGACTTCATGTGATGAACTAGACTAAAAATGTACCACTAAACAAAATGAGTGGATTTGAATTGCATTTAAGAAGTTACATAATTGTGACCATCAAAATCAATCGGTGTTTAGCAATATTTTACAGTCTGTCAGAATCTGATCAAGTGTTAATGAGAAAAGCATATAATTTTACAGAAGAAAACCCCAGAACTCCTTTGAGAGTTTTTCAGAAAAGAGTTTGAATTATTATAGCACAGAGGAACAAAAGAAAGCTTAAATTTCATAGAAGACCTTTTAAGAGACAAACATTCTGACTGCAGTTGTTAAAATGGGATAAGTTATTTATCAACGTGTAACAACGAGTTGGAAAACCTGTACAAATACTTAATAGGATTCAAACAGATTTAGCAAAAACTAAAAGATAAAATAACTTTGAAAGAAGAAAATCAGAAAATGTAAGGAAATAAACAGGGAAATAAAGAGCTAACACATATTCGAAAGTCAGTTTCTTCTTACTTAGGGCAACAACAAATAGAATGTTTTATGATTATTTAAGTACCTTTGAACTTCTTGTTTGGACATAATTAAAACATCCTTCTTCCTCCTAAAGTTACAACAGAAAGCTGCAACCTCCGCTCCCCACCACCCAAAACAGAGAGAGGGAAATAACAGTGCTCTACAATCCACAATTTGCTTCCTTAATTTTAAGCCATGGAAGAATCTTACTTTGTTAGAGCTTGTATTTAATAGGATTAGGGAAGAGTGAAACATCACTCTTTCAAGTCAGTGGTTCTTAAACTGCTCTTTGGCTTCTGCGTTTGCTCAACCTTTTGAAAATAGGCCTGCTCAAAAATCTAAGGATTTTGATATTAACAGAATTGTTTTTATTTAAGTCTTTTACCACTACTCTCTTGCTATCAGATGAGTTTAGGAAATTTCCCAACCACCAGTCTTACTGATTTAAATCTTTAGCAACAAGACAGGCTGAAGCATGACATAACACAAAAAGTAGCCTAAACTAAAAGTAACTGCAAATTTACTCTAAGATATTTCAGTTTAGAAGATTGCACAGGTTTTGCTGACAGAAGGCAAAGAAGAAGAAAAACAGATGCGCATGAGGAAAAAAGCAAAGCTGCCAATTAGCTACCAAATCACTAACGTTAAGTAATCCGTACCCCACAAGTATTTGCAGCAAAATGAGAGAAAGGTCCAGAACTGCCAAGTTAGTTGTGGATTTCTAGAGGGCAGGTGCCCAAAGGGAGAAACAGCACATCACCACATTCTCCGGCAAAATCTTCGTGTTTGTTAGGAGAATTATACTTTGCTTGTTAGGAGAATTATACTTTGCCAGCTTTAGCCCTCAATGCCTTATATGTGCACTACATACACACCTCCCCCCACCTTTACTTTATAAACACATTCAAATTACCATTCACTTGTTGTCATGTACAACATACAAAAATACAAACTACAACTTCTAGTTACTCTCTCCAGTGCCCTTTCAAACCCAGCATCAGCAATGGCTGCTACTATTCCACTGTATATTTTATTAACATGGCAGGGGAATGTCTCCCTCAAGCATTTCACTCTTTGCTTCTGTGATCTACATTATACATTAAATTTAATAATTTATCAGTGTTGCTGAAAGCCCTGACATCTCTAATGATTCCTTTAGAACTATTTACAGCAAATGCAATTGTTATGGCTATGCTAATTTTAAAACAATTTACCCCAGTTCCTTAATCCAGGCTATCTAGCAGTGCTCTCTAGCAATACAAGTTAGTATCACTGCCTCTCCACAGCTTGCAACATAGTATATTTGGCATAAATACTGTTAACCAGATCCTCAATAATGGGGTCAAAAAGAATTTTAAGATCTTCATAAATTTGATATTTCTCAGGGAAAAATAACTATTTTGGTAAACATGCCCATTTGCCTTCCAACTTAAACCTCACAGAAATGCCGCTTTTCACATTTCAGAATTTTACGAGCATCTAGGTTTTTGAAGACTACTTTCACCAAACCATTAAACAACAGTTGTGCATTTTAATTAAGCACATAATAGAAGTATTTTCTTTTGCAGTGGGGTCTCTCTTGTTTCAGCGACAGAGTGCTGGAAATGCTAACCTGTAGTCTGACTGAAAAAAAAACCGATTTCTGTTCAGTTTGATGCTCTGACTAAATTTTGTAACCACTACGGTGGAGGAGAGTAGCAAAAGCAAGGAACTCTTGGATAGATAGAGCTGGAAATGGAAAGGCTGTAATTATCTACCTCATCAATTACTGAATTACTGTGCTTTTAAAGATGTTTTGAAATACATATTTTAACACAATTTTTTATTTAATCTTATGCATGTTTAATGACACATAAAACACCACTAAGTAAATACAAATCATAAAATAGGATAATTTGTATTTTGTTCCTCAACCCTTACTATTGATAAAAGAATCCAAGTGCTATTTGTGGGGGTGATGGTCCAGCATAATTAAAAGCTTTACAGAACAGCAGGTAAGAATTTCTACTGACCAGGTGTAAAACGATGTAAGGCTTACTGAGTATTTATAAAGAAACTACTGTTTTCTCTATGGTCTGGTTTGGCTCACATAAGCGTCAAATCAAATACATTCAAATAATATTAAGTACATTGGGTCCTCTGTATTATATGTGACAGCCCTATTACAGAGATTACCTATGTGACAGGTTACCCATCAAGTTAGAAAGTCTGGACACAACTGAGCAAGACTGGACATGTAGGAAGGGTAACCAAACATATACAAAAAGACTGTAGGTGATCCTGATGGTTTCATCTTCACCCTTTCATAATCTGTTTTAAAATCAGGATGAGGAACAGTTATAGTTTTGCTTTTATGGTACGATGAAATGTTTAAGCATCCATACTTCTGATTCTCTGGTGCTTTCCAGGCGTGCAACTAGAGCATGGGTGTGTACGTAAATATTCATTTTCTTTTTAACTCATATGTAAATCAGCTGTCATTTCCTCACTGCACTTCTCAATATAGGAAAGAATACCTATTAAAGATTTCATTTTTATCCGTTGCTACCATTTCTTGGCTAAAAACAAAAGGATATGGTTCTGGCAATACAGATGGGACAAAGATAAAAGCACAGACCAACAAGGATCAAAGATTGTGCTGAAACACGTAATTTCTGTCTGTATACAGAAACTTTCAGAAAGTGAATTTAAGCTAGAAAGAAAGAAGTGTATGGACAACAGAAGACATGGGAACGCTTTTGAAAAGCTTTTGATCCTTTAAGCAGTCTTGAGATCAGCTGGCTGTCCTGAACCAGTTATAGTGGCAATGATAGTAACACTGGGATGATCCTATGCCTAATCCAGCTGGAAATTATAACTATATGACAAGATTAAATTTACTCATTTTCATTAGATCTACGTGGATTAAAGGATTTGCTCACAAAAGTAATGGCTAAAGGTAACCCTAGATGCTTTGTTTAGGGTGTACAGAGAAAGCTTTGGGTGTTTTTTGGTCGTTTGTATAAACCAAACAACTTTCCCATAAAGCCTTTTTCAGTATTTCCTAAGGGAATATGCTGTCATAGTAGCAAACAGCATAGAAAAGACTCTCTTTTCTTAAGAAGCCTATCTCTCACTAGATTCTTTCATATATTTACTTATTGTTCCAAATATATTAGTAAAAGCTGTACAAAAAGCAAGAGGTATTTAACTAGGGCATTTGCCACACCATGTTAAGAATGCAGGGAAAAAAAAAAAAATCCCTCTCCACTCCAGCCCGAAATCCATTGTCGTAGATTTTTGAAGAAAAAGAGGCTCCAGAATTCCTGTAACAACAACAGCCAGTTTGCACCCTCCACATGAGAACTTATACCATGCATCACAGAGAAAGAGAGCTTTTTAAATGTGGAGAAACAGAGAGGAAATAAAATTTCTTAGGGAAAAAGTTAAAAAGTTCCTGTATCAATTTTGACCCAGCACTCTAATCCAGAAACATATATTACAGAAAGGCTTTCTTCTTTCAAATACAAGTTATAAAATAGTAGACTAAAAGAAATTTTATTTTCCTCAATCATTAACAGTGCTGTGTAATACCAAAGTGCTGAAAATTTCTATCATTATTGAAACAAGACACTGAGTTAAAACAGCTCAAGCACTGTTCAAGGAAGAATTAAAAAATAAACCCCCAAACGCAGAAAAAAATTCCAAATTTAAAATGAACTAAAAGGTTTCTAAATCAACATGTCTGCCTAGATGTTCTATATACCTTCTTCTAGATGTTAAAAATATATATACACTGGTGAAAGCAGCATGTTTTCAGATTCTACCTCTTGCAAAAACATTAAGAAGCAGTGGTGACAGTAGAAAACGCAAATAAAGTGCTAGAGCGACCAGTCACTGTAATTTTAATGTTAAAGTATTGGCCACTGTAGTGGCAACACCAAGGCTGACTCCATCTGATGCTGAGTGTTAAACGGCTTCTTAGCGTGGTTAGTTTATTAGCTACATGTACAGAGATGGCATAAGATAAAAACTTCTAAATAAAGTCTTTAACGTGTTGGATGTATTTTGACAAATCCAACCCTCAAACTCTTGGAAAATATTTTTGCCCATCTTAGTTGAAAATCAAAGGCCAGCTTACAAGTATTGTAACAGCATTTCTCCTTAGTCTTGTTTTAGCAACTAGCATACAAGCAGCCTACATCTGAATGATCTTCAATGTTGTAA